TAGGGAATCATTGGGTTGTATTATTCGCCTCTGTAGAAGACTATGAAGCATTCAGATTAATATGTTAAGTAAGAGAAAACATTGATCTCGAATGATTTCATCAGAAAACACAGAGAGTAATTTTTATATACTTTATATCATCAGTTACAAAATAGACATTATTAAAAGCAAGCTATGGAATTTCATTTGATGAATGAAACTGTGTTTGGAAACTCATACTTTATTTTCAATAGTCAGGGGAGGAAAGTTACTGTGTGTTTTCTCTAGAAAGCTTTATTTGCAATAGCTACTTTGAATCCTTCTCCAACAGAAACATTACAAGTTAGGATATGAAGAACTGAGGAGGAAAGGATTTTTTTTTCTGATGCTATACCCCTCAAGGCAGCAAAGGCATCCAGAGACATAGCTAGTGAGGTAAGTCTTACGGAGTGAAAAGATAATGGAGCATAGAGCTGGTGTACCCTCTTGGATAAAGATTGCTTTTTTTAATTTAGAATGAGGAAAGACCTAAAATTTTAACAGTCTTATATTGCTGCCCTCTCCAGCAGTTGTATAATTCTTAGTGGTGCAAAAATATTTATATTAAATAGCATAGTTTACAATGTGACAGTATCTAAAATATAAAAAAAAAACAGTTAATACGTTCTGGACATCCAATAAAACCACCGAAAATATTGGGAAAAAAGGTTGAAATATATTAACATGTGAAACTTTTAGACCACTATGTAAACAACAGACATTTAAATCGCAGCCTTAAAGATGTGGTAATTGTTGTTTCTGCATTCCATTAGTACCAGTACAAAACTGCGTACCGCAAGCAACTCGGCCACCACATCGGGGCCCGTAACATAGAGGATGATCCAAAGATGGTGTGGTCAATGCACGTAGCCAAGATCCAGAGTGACAGAGAGTACAAGAAAGCCTTTGAGAAGTCCAAGACCCACTTCAGTAGCCCAGTGGACATGCTGGGAATCGTGTTGGCCAAGAAATGCCAGGAGTTGGTCAGTGACATTGATTACAAGCACCCTCTGCATCGGTGGACCTGTCTGCCAGACCAGAACGATGTTGTACAAGCCAGGAAAGTGTACGACCTTCAGAGTGACGTAAGTTTGTGGGGTTTTTTTCTGGCTGTGTGAAAAGCAGAAGTGTCTCTTGTGTTCTGTTTCTTTGTTGGGTGAAGGTTCCAGGTGGGGAGCATTAAATCTAGGCTGATTCTGTGAGACTGTGTTGTGGCTCTACTATCTTGCTGCGAGTTGGTGTCATGAATGGTCAGGGATGAACTTTGTGTGGGGTCATAATTTATGTTCACAGAAGACTCCTGTGATATCTGGAGCATTTTGAGAGGATTACTGCAGATGGCTAGAGTTCTGTGTGGCAGGGGAAGGGCAATGGAGTAAAATATTTTAATTGGAGGACCATCCATGGGCAAAGGCAATCAAGATGTGAGTGGTGACAAATGATATGAAGAGCGTTACGTGATGAGGTTTAAGGCTGCTTCTGTGCCACTGCCAGCTGGAGATTACTGAATGGGGCAGGTCTTTCCCATGGAGACTACAGAGGTGGTGGGAGAGGGCTTTGCAGGTTGCTTGGCATCTGCTTGTGGTATTGTAGGCATGGGGAGCCA